TTCTAAAATCAGTTGCTGTTGAAACGTCGTTTGTCTTGTATTCGATTTTGGATGTTTTGGTGTAACGGAGAGTGGATATCTCAAACTCTGATACGCGTGTAAATTTTCATTTAAAACAAAACTTAATATAAAGCGATGATGTAAGTTTTACAGTGGAAAAGCAAATAAAAACAAAAAACAAAAAAACATAACTAACGATTAAACCAAAAAGTTACAAAGTGAAAAAAGAAATACATACATAATTTTAAAAAATGAAAATTTTTTTTTGGAAACTTGAGCCGCTTTGTAATCGAAGTTAATTAAGTAATACAAACTTTGTTAATGTTCGGTTATTTGTACAATGGTTTTATGGTGGGGCGGGTGTTGGAGGGGGGTTTTGAAACTGAACCCATTAGAGAGAACACAATGCAAACTTTAAGAAAATGCACCTCTCCCCTGTCTGACCCGTGCACAGACCCCTGGGCACCCATTTTGACAGCGAAAATCTAAACTCGGGTATCACAGTGTTTTTGCGCAGAACACCTTTCCTTCGGCCGCGTTTGCAAAAAAAAAATAACCCTCACCAGTCCAACTCCGGCTACGCCATTCACAGTATTTTTGCGTAAATGTTTCAAATTCAAAAAAAACAGGCTTAGTAAGTGGAAGAAGTTAACGCCAAGAAATATTACTCATACGACATGTTGATTTGCGCGGAAAACTTTATTTATCATTTCTTTTGAGAAAAATCATTAGGAGCTTCAGTGTTTAAAAATGTATATTTCGCTACTTTAGAGTGAAAAGTTGCTTAGTCCAGTCCACTGGGCAAAAAGCCGATGAATTCAAGGTGACTAGGTTCTTCTGGCCACAGGTAGAAAGGAGGAAGCGTTAGAGTCAAACAAACCGCAACTCTCGGAGCTGATGAGGGTCTTAGCTGGTCAATGTGTAAATGAAAATCAATGTAATAAGGCTCAACATTGCTTTAAGAAATTGCTAATGGAAGAAAATACTCGTAAGATAGAAATAGTTGTACATCAACTTATAGTCTAGTTAGTCTAGACTTAACTTAACTTACGTAAGAAATCGTCAATGATTATTTAATACGTCAAATTAGCCAGAAGCGAAAATATTTTGTTTTTGTGTTTTCTTTTTTTAGTTGATGGTCACTTTGCTGCCTATAAAAAAGTTCTGAACAAAACTATATTGCGTTGGCCAATATATTATAGGTTACGTTACGTAAATTAAGCCTTTAGTTTTTTGCTTCTCCTGTAAAATAAAAACGTGTACGTTAGGGCCTTTGTGAATTAAGATAACGATATGAATACGGCTTTTTTCAAATATCTCGACACCTGCGCCATCTCTCGCATTGCATTGTCATAGGGTTCTGAGCTAAGATTAAAGTTTAAGTCTCTAGCTCATCGGGAAGTTGGTTAAAAATTGATTTGAAAAGATTTGATTACACACAGATGAAACATAATAAAAACTTGTAAAAATAGTTAGAAAAAGTACTTTAAAAATTTAGACTATTTTTAACTTGAACAAAAATAAATAATAATTAAAAAAATGTAACAAATATAGTCGTAGACTTAAATCCAATTGATAAAGTTGTCATCAGCTCTTAACTTGGATCCCTGCTTTGATCAAACAGTCATTGTTTTCTACTTGTATAGTTGCCAAGTCAAGTGGATAGGAGAGTGCATTTTTAGCGGAACATAAAAGAAGGGCTGGCGGCAGTTTCTGCATATTTATCTAAAAAAAAAAAAAAAACAATTTTTTTCGTATCACGCTGTTCCTCCAGCAAACCGCTGCCGGCAATACGCTTTGTCATCAGCTGTTATTATAGAATAATATTTAGCAACCCGTAAAAATCCGTTACTCTTAATTAAAATTATTTCTTAAATAATAAAAAAAAAATTCTTTTATTTTATTCCAGCAACATGCACTCAATTTTACTTTGTGTAATCCTACTTGTGTCTTCATGCAGCGCACAATTTTATTTCCACCAATCAGCGCCCTTGCCATATCAATCACTTCATTATCCGCGATATACCTCACCACCACCCGATTTTAAACCCATCTCAGAGCCAAGCCAGGAGAGCTATGCCCATCCGGCGGTTATAGCCAATGCGGAGCGAGAAGCTCAACTGCCACCGGAACTATCGAAAAGTCGACGTTTCTACAGCAATCCTCATATCGCAGCTGCTCTCGCCAAAGAGTCACTGCTGACATCCAAGGAGATGCCGGTGCTCAATCGTGAAGCAGAGAAAATTGATCGCAATGAAATTTATAAAATTTTCCATAATGCTGGTTGGGCGAGAAGAAGATAAAGCGAGATAGATAGATTAAATAAAATACAGATTACTTTTCGTGGTTCTAAAAAGAGTCGTGCTTAGAGCAAGTTGATTTTGTTGTTGTTCCCGTCTTGCCAATCAACCTAAAATACATTTAAGTCGTTAAAACGTATTTATTTTTTTTTTTTTAAGATTAAGTTAATATTGTAAATAAAAAGTGTTTATAAGTAGTGTGTTTTATTCGACAAGTCACTTAGTGCTTTGGAATTCAAGGCTAGGATCCTTCAAGCCTGCTCAGAGCACATTATCGAGCTCAATGTCATAATTTTTGCGCATCGCAAATACAATAAATAACTGTTGTGCTAAAAATAAAACGGGATTAGAATCAACGACCTCAAATTACGAGTAAGCACAACCTTTTCGGAGTCGCTTTGTTAAAACCTCCTTTGAATTTGAATGAGTCGGAGATGTCCATCCCAATTTGGATAGTGATCAATATTCTTCTGCATAGCTCAATTTGTATAGCGAAGGTTAAAAAATTTAGACATAGTAGAAGTAAGTTGTGTTAGTGACTTCAAAGTCGACGAGGAGGTGATTCACTTCGAATTATGGATGCATGCCCGAGATTGGAATCTCTGAGTACTTTGTTCAATCTACAAGAAGAGCGATCCCGACGCTTGAGCCAATTATCGCGGAGTAAGCCTTTTTAATATTAACTATAAGAGTACCGAAGAAGATTGGAGGACCAACTGTACGAGTTTTTAACAACATGGACATAGAAATACCACGAATGTGCTGGCTTGCGGTGAAAAGATCCTTCGACTCGGCACCCATTGGTGGACAACGAATGAAAGGGCGCCCGACAAACGCAATGGAAGGACCAAGTGCAGAAAGACCTGTCTGCAATTGAGAGGAAAACTTGGCGCAAGAAGCAAAAGAGATGACAATTCGCGAAGCTTTTTGTCTCGGCTCAAACTCACAAATGGTTGTAGGGGCAAATAAAAATAATAAAAAAAAAAAATCAAAGTTAAAGGAACAATGATAACTGTAATAAATTGCTTTAGTTTTGTCAAAAACCGTCGCCAGTTGCATGTTACAAAGTTGATCCTTCACTGTACCCTTTTTCTTTACAAGACCCACTTTGAAGACGGGATGGCTTACTGCTATTGCTAATGTGTCGAACTCAATGTCATTGGAACTTCCTCTAGGTTAGCGTTTTTTTTTTTTTATAAAAACCTTCTACAACTGGGTCGTCTGCTTTCCCTTACCTACTGTACACTTATGTTTTGGAATCATATAGAGACGTACCTAACTCCAGACTGCTGAAACTTCTTCTTAAAAGGCGATGTGCTGATGCCAAGTGCGAATTCTTTCATTTTGGGATCATTGCTGTAAGTGAAGAATATGTTGTTTGTCAAATTAGCACCTCTACGCCATCCAACGATTTCTCGTCTAGCTCCTGGAAACTTTTCGAAGCTCCGGACTTTGTGGAGTTATATACAAATGTAGTCCGAATTTCCTGGCAAAGATGTTGCTATACTACTAAGACTGTCAGCATAGTTCAATTGTAAATGCTTTACCGCCTGAAATTAAAGTGCTGCCTACTGACTATATCCTGCCGACGACATGGTTCCACCACAAACCCCACACGAAATTCCCAAGTACTCAAAGTTGGATCCAGTTCTTGGAGGGCTTAACGAACTTCACGTGCGAATCAAAGATGGTATGCGAGGTTGTTGCAGAGGTCTTCAATGAGCAATTGAAACTAAAGCTATCCCTCCGACTACCAAAGCAATTAATTGTTTTTCAGGCTGAAACGTTTGCAATTAAGGAGGCAGTAGGGTACATCCCAGATGAATATCTTCTCAGTTAGCTAAGCGGCTACTCAGGTACCTGTGTTAGATCTCAACTAGTGGTTGACTTTAGTAGACAGCTGGCTTCAATTTTTAATTAATACGAATTTACCCTAATATGGGTCCCGTGACATGAGGAAATCACGAAAACGAGATAGCAGACAGCCCTACCTCGCTTAGGCTCTGCACTGAATGTGGCCCATGCGGTGGACATGGCTGCCTTGCTCAGGGAGATCAAGGACAGAAAGGCCGAAATTTATCCCTCGAAGGCTAAACAGAGGTGCAATCGTATAGCAGTGTGTAACTTACAGCTGTCTGCACCGGGCACGGGCATATTTGGGTACGTGGCGAAAGGATTGGCTTACATTTACCACCAAGAAGTTCTGTCGCAGCTGCATGGATCCGGGCTGAAAGTATACAGTCGAACACTTTCTGTGCATGTTACCAGCCCTCGCAAGGATGATGCTAATATGCGCCAAATTGCTGTAGGTTGCAGGAGTGGTGGAATCAAAATGGACCAACCAACTATTTAAGACCATACGTCCCAAAGTATGAGTAGCAGCTCTCTTTAAACTCAAATACATTTCGCAATATTCGTTTGATCTAGCATTTTATGCCTTTATTCGTCAACTTATATATGAAGTTTGTGTACTTAAATAAGGGCAACGCATCCACGCTGTCTGGCAATCATTAGTTTAGGTTATCCCATCAACCTTAGTTGAATGGGTTACAAATTAGTGTCTTATTTCTAAAATATTAAAAAAAAAAATAATTAATATTCGATCGACTCGAATAAGTTGAATGAATAGCTTATTTGTAAGTGATATATCCTAAATTAATGGCAACAACAAACGCTGCGATAACAACAACAATTGGCCACTTCAATCGAACTGAGACTTTTCGACGCACTTAAGCGCGCACACGCTGACGCGTTTGCTGATAGGACGGCTCCGCTTCGCCGTTGTCTTCATGCACAGGAATTGCATCAGGCAAGGCGTAAACTAGATTTCCGTGTGTTGCGCCAGACGCCTGATGATACATAACTGGCACAGCGATTTGACGCAAGGCACCATTGGACGCAAAGTACGGTGCCTTGTGGTACGCCGAAGCTGGTGACGCGTGTTCATGTACTTGTATTTGATGATAATTTGTAATGGGTTCATGTTCGACTACCTCGCGCACCGTCTGGAAGGGATGGTTGACCACAATGCGACGTTTGTGGAAACTCTCGCTTGCAGCGGATGCGTCGTTGGGTGCTGGGTTGGCGGCAATCACGCGAGAGCCCGGTGGCGTGATATGCGCATTGCCGTCTTTAACGTTGGCATCCACGCTTTCAGTTTGGATATTAGAAGTCGCTGGTTGGGCGTTTTCTTTGCCGTTTGATTGAGAGCTGCTAGTGTCTATTAGGCGTAGGGACTTTACTGGTTCTCTGTCACGTTGCTCTTCAGCATACTGCACATCATCGTCGGGGTCATTCTCATAACGCTCGCTCACTTTTTCCGCACAATCGGGTTGGGACTCGACATTCTCAGAGCGTGGTTCATCTTGATCTTCACTTTCATTTTGAACAGCAGATTCTACTTGATCGTCCTCGGCTTGTTTGGCTGCTGACTGTCTAGAGTATGCCGTACGACTCTGTTCCCTCGGTGGATTGATCGAAGACATAACTCGTATGGGCTCATCAGCTTCTTGCGGACCATTCGGTACTTGTAATTGAATGTGTGCCAGCGGGCGTAGGCCGGGTTTTTTAACGTCTTTGCTTTCCACTGATTCGGCGGATTCCTTTGAAGCAAGCTCTGAGTTATTTTGTGAGACCAGACGGGCATTTGATTCGGGTCCGCGGTTATAGTTTACAGTTATGGTTCTTTGCGGCGCATTTTCATTAACATTCCGATTATATTCTACATCGGCGGTAAGCCGCGCAGACTCCTTTGGATCGTAGCGCATATGAGAGTATGGTGCACTGTACTCCACTGACGCATCCACATCGGCGTCGGGGTCGTAACGCAATTGGCCATAAGAGCGCTGTTGCGGAACTAGTTGTGGCAGTCGACTTTCATTTTGTGTATAGCGCTGTTGCGTTGTAACTGGACGTCTAGCGGGGACCACGTATACTACCCCACCCTCCCGTTGTCGGTCCAAGTATGGTTTGACCTCTTGAACGCGAGCAGTTTCTTCTTCTAGGCGAGCGGGCTGCTGCTTTCGTGATGGTGCCTGCTTGCGCTGCTCCTGAACAAGTATGTGGCGGTCTTCTAAGCGACTGGGCGCTATGTATATGTTATGTTGTGACGGTGGAATATTGATAGTGTGCTCATGTTTTATGATTTGTGCGCGTGGCTCGGCAGTAATGCGTTCACTTTTGCGTGGCTCTTCCTGCAGACGGGCAGGTTTGGGATCTCTGTTGGCTGTGCTGTAAAAGTTACCGGTAATATATTCGCCCTTGTAATCATCGTCGTCGTTGCTGTAATTGCTCTGGAAATCGGCAGCATTATTTTGTAATGGCTGTTCTTCTCTTCTCGAAAAGGACGAACGATAGGTCTCATCGTTTTTCTTTGCTTCAACACGAGCGGGACGTTGGTAATTGCTCTCTTCGCGTCTGAATGTATTGGGTGAGAAGTTCCTATTAGACCCTTGACGCTGGTTGCCATGTGTCTCGGCGGGTATGTAAAGTTCCCTGCCGCGTTGCGTGTTTTCAGTTGTAGCTACGAGTTTTGTTTCTTCACCGTATTGCTTGCGCAGATTGGCTTCCACAAAATCTCGTTTGGCGTTTTGATTATTTGTCGGTGTAGCTGTAACAGTGGAAGCAATGTGCGTGCCGCTAATTACTGGCGCAGGATTTTTTCTAGCGGGCGTTGCATAGACCTGATTCGGACTTGAGCGCACACCGTTGCTATAGGAACCCGCACTGGACGATTCCGTCTCAATGTCTGCGTCACTATTCAAATTGTATTGCGCGGCAATTGCCGGATGTGGATGACCGAGGGGCAGTACGGTTTCACCCTTCGGAATTTTCGCAACTGGATGTTCCAGCTCGACAACTATAGTGCCAGCAGGCTTAATCACAACACGTTCTTCGATGTCATAAAACTCCTTTTGGATGGCTGGGTGACGAACCTCAAATTTCTTGGCCTTCAATGCTGGCTGCGCAATTTGAATAGTTTTAGTGACAACAGGACGTTGGTAAACAGATTGTGCGGGCAGGTAGCCGGCATTTGAGTGGTAATCGCTTTCCTGATTGCCATAAAAACCATCATATCCGCCTGCGGACTCATCGACGGAGGGTGGGTACTCATTTAGGAAACCACCTGCATCTCCTTGATCATAATTGTAGCTTGGTTGCTCGTAGTCAGGCTTGCCATAGCTATTAGCTTGATCAAAGTTCGGCTGATTGTACCCGCCACCGCCAGCCACTCTAAACGTCACGCCATGTGAGCCAGGACTAGCACCAGCGCCAGAAAAACCACCAACGAATGAACCACCAATACCCACTTTGCCACCATCGCTGCCACCACTAATTACAGTAGTAGCAGATTTTGATGATGCCGATGGCGCGGCAGATGGTGCGGAATGCGAGGCGACAGGTGAAGGCGCCTGCACAGCTACTGGCGTAGAAACAGCAGGTGCTGCAGCAACTGGTGCTGGGGATATTTGAATCTTCGCGTCTACAGCTGATTTGGATTGCTCCTCGGCGGGCGTTGATGCTGCTGAGGCGACAGCAGCGGGGAGAGCAACTTGCCGCTCGAAAGTATGTTGTTTGCGAGGTTTCGCGTCGATGGCGACAAGACGTGCTGGGCCAGAAGAAGAAGATGACGACGACGACGACGAGGAGGAGTATTCGTAGCGCGCTGAAGGCGAGTGATCGGCGGTTTCAAATACCTAAAGGATCGAAGAGAAAGGATAAATAAAGAGTGCTTGTGGATAATTGACTTGACTAAGAAAGAAGAGCATATTGTGTACCGCATTTCGTACGAAATTTGACACTTACCGTTTCCACAGTCGGTCCACTATGATAATTTTGTATATAGCGCTCGAACTCCTGATTCTGTTTGTCTT